GCAATTTACTCTTATGTAAAAAGTTTTAAAATATGTCCATTCTTGAAGATCTTTATTAATAAAACAAAATTCAAGGTTCAATATGATCGAGGTTCTATACGATTCTTTGAAAGGAGATGTAACACATGTATACGCGCATTGTAAAGTAAAAATAGAAATTATACCTGGAAAAGGTTGCTACCAAGGGAAGTATAGAGAATACCTGTAGTGATCGATTACGATTCACATGTTAGTTTTCGAAGGTCACATTAGATGTAATTGTTCCGGTATGCTTGGCTTAGGACATCTCCGCGAAAGAGTCGCGTTAAAAGGAGCCTGTTAAGAAAAATTCGCGCTGGCATACGCATCAAATGTCACATCACGCGCGATTAAATGTCGCCGTGCTGTACAGAGCTGTACAGAGTAATGGTATTATTCAAACTAGCCATATAATTATGGTAATTGTAAGACAAGATTTGCAGTACGCAGCAAGTAAACGTAGAGATTTACATGCTTTATTAAAATTCAATTGGTCACGCGCGCTATGTGAAAATACTTTATACGAAAACGTTATTTAACGAGCTGAACGATATATACGAAATTGCACAATTTACCAGTAAATCCGACATGCATAACCACTGCATAATGAGTTTGCCGAGTGTTGGGACGTCGAGTATCAATTTCATGTTACATAATGGAAGAGAAGAGAAGCGGGAAACGAGAAAGAGACGAACACGGCAGAATTGAAGTGTGTCTCGTATCCGCGCTAGTCCACACAAACTTTCTTATTCCGCCCCGTAGCCTCGCTTCCGGTTGTGTAACAGGCGCCTACGCCACACGTTGCATCCACCGCATGTATGCATCACTCTCTTCTCCTCCTTCTCCTCCTCTTCCTCCTCACTCCTTCTCTCTTTCTCTCTTTCTTGCGGTCCTTTCCGCGCGCACTCGAGCACCCTCGTTGCGCGTTATGTATACCTTCACAAAAGATCGCTAGTTTTATACGAGCTTTTTTAATAGAACTCGTATAAAAAGGAAGGCAGAGGGTACACGAAGAAGAGAGAGAGGACCCGTGCAGCTTGTCGATAGCTCGACAAACGCTGCTACTTTTTCAGTTGCCGGCCGACTGTCCATATACCATCAGAAACAGGGAATACGAATGCAGGAAGTAACGTATCCTGTGCGACCGATAGCTCGAGGGCCCTCGTGCGCTCATCTCCTCGTCTAGATCAATTTGCCCACCTGCGTGACGTATGTCTCTTCCTGATATCTTTATGTGTCAAGAAGGTTGGGAGACTTTAATTATACTATCTTCCCGCTGCGCGAGTAACGATGCATCGAAGTGAATGCCACCGTTAAGTATCGCTGCGATTCTCGCCGGAGGTCTTCTTCGCGTTCGTGAGAAGAACGATCGCATGTAAATTGTAAATCACCCGCGAAACTGGAGCGCATACTCTAGTTTCTCTCAACGATGTAGGAAAAACTTAGCGGTCAGAGAAATTGGTCCTTATCGATGGATAATTGTTCCTTGTGAAATTATTTAATACGATTCCACGTTGTTATCCACAGACCTGCATAATTCAGATCGTAAATAAAACAGATATAAAACGAAGGAAGAAGAAGCGCGGTTTCGGTCGACCGTGAGAATGTGGTCGCCCAAAAATATCTTGAAACCACTCTCTTGAGGAGTTTCGGAATGTATTAAGGGCGCAAACGGAAGGATATTTTCCGGAAAGGGTTGTGGGGAAAGCATTTCTATTCTGTCAGGAAATGCGTTTATTATACACGCAAGCTTCGGCAAGAGATAAGATCGACGAGTCTGTTTTATTTTATGCCAAGATAGAAGAAATTTATTATTGCAGAAAAAAACAGGAAAAAATAAAACAATGGTTTATTTAATTTATTAACAATTTATTTATTCGGAATTTATTCCAAAATAAAACAGCTATAATAATTATATCAGATACATACACTTAAAATTTCTTCCTTTCTTATTAAAATTATTCACATTTGTGTGAAAGTATAAAGGCAATAAGAAACAAGCTGTTTTCGCATTATGTGATTATAGAAAGAGAATTTGCTTGCAATATTTAATTTTATGCAAACATATTATAAAATACTATGTTACACTATATATGTAACACAATAATATACATACGTATGCAACTTCTTAGATTCTTGCGAATACTTGAGTCTTTAGTGCAGGAATGTGACATTTTCCGTCAGCGTTGAAATCTCTCGACGCGGTGAGAACAAGCTTATAATGCTTTACAACGCGGAAATGCAGTGGAAATCGAAGGTATATCTGAAAGAAATTTGCAATCTAATGGTACCAATCATACGAGTAAAACTTGATCACAACATGAGCGATTCTTTCTACGTAATCGCCATATAACGTCATACGCGCGAGTACCCGGAAACTCTCCGTTCAACACTGTGTAGATCCATACTATGATTATTAAAATAATATACGTACTTTCAGCAACATTGTTAGCGTAATGGAAGGTTTCACAATCGCGCACGATCTTGAGGATGCGATAAACACGCTTTCTAAAGAATATGTGCCCTATACTCGGCGCGGGCGCAGGATATTGGCGTATGTGGAAGCAAACTGCTTACGCAAAATCGATCATGGGATCGTATGCAAAGTAGATGCATCCTGCTGTTGACCCCGCAGATATCTTTACCTCAAGCGTTCTTGGATGAAGAGAAATCGTGCTTTCGATGAATTAGACTGATCCGATTACTCTTCGCTTTCACTGATTGCTTTTACTTATTACAAATGTGATTTAACGATGACACGGCGAAATGTACTGGGCGGTTTCCTCTCTCTCTTTCTCTCTCTCTCTCTCTCTCTCTCTCTCTCTCTCTCTCTCTCTCTCTTCGGTAACAAAAAGAAAGGATCTGTTTTATAGTGCATAATGTGAAAAACCTAAAACCCAAAAAAAGATTATTTGTTGTGCTACTAAGATATTTTAAGCTTTTTCTGACTATCGGATTTGTAAACCCTTTGAGTATTAGGGCAATTTTACCTGATAGCTTACCTTGGAATCTTGGAATGCATCAACTTTTACTATGTCTTTTAGCCTTTTGGTCAATGTGATTTTTTTTTAGCACCGAAGAAAAGTGAAAGTGAAAATATTACTTTAACGAAAGGGTGTTTAAACTACATATCATTGAAAACGGATAGTTCAAAGGACAATTGTTTGGTGAGAACAAAAGAATTGTATTGGTCGGTCCATAACAAATAGGAAATCAGGTTTATAGTTTACTTGGAATTTGAACATGAAAACGTGCCATAATCTTTTAACACTATAAATGACAAATAGCCCATCAATTATAGTAATAACTGTGACAAAGACTAAATGTATTAAAATATGCAATATGTGCTATTTTCAGTATTCTAGTTATCAAATAATATTCTGAAAAAAAACATAACTTACAATCTTATTATATCTGTTGATATAATAAAATAATTTTCCGCCTGTTAACATTAAATGAGAATTACTTTGGATGAAAATTAATTATTCGAAATCATCTTCATAATATTTAAAAATGCATGTAAGTAATAATTGTGGTTATGTATTTGTAATTTAATATTTATAATGAAATACAGATAATAACGTTTGATAAAACTTAAAAGTCATTTTTTACAAAGATTATTAACGATTTATAACAATATAAAAAATGGTGACGGTCGATAAAAAAGATAGATTGTGTGATCCATGGATCATCCGGGATCGTTCCAATGGTTTCTTACATTGTAAGCGCCATCTCACATTGTTCTTGACCATGATATTGCAACGATATTACCAGCTGGAGAATATACAGTTTTCAAAGCTTAGATGTTTTTTTAAATAAAATATATTATATTTTTATTTCATTAAAAATTAATAATTAAATATTATGGATTTTGGCATTCAATATTAAATGTCAAAAATCACTGTAAAAGGTTTCTTGTTAACCATTTTTAGAATATAGTGAGATATTGCATAAATATAATTTGGTAAGATAATAATTTAAAGTAATATTGTAATTGTTATTACTTTTACTTATTACTTTTTTATTATTTAAGTGTATTGTGAATTTTATTCTTTATATTATTGTAATCATATTCTTTAAAGGAATGGCAACAGATTTTACATACACTGTGGCATAGCAAACATCTTACAGGGGCTTGATGAATCTTATGAGAGATTTAATTATACAGTATATTCTATTTAATTATACAATATATGACTTATCTAAAATAATTAAATTTTTAAGAATTATATTTAATTTATTTATTTTTCATATTTAATTTGAGTATATTAGAGAAATTGCATAGAAATAAAACTAGGAAAAGAATAAATATATGTGAAATATCAATTTACTTTACAAAAAATGCTTTTATTAACAAACGCGAAGGTAATAATAAATAGTCACACGAAAAATAAATAATCAATATCCACCGAAGAAATAATTTTGTATTGCCTCGCAAATATATTCGACAACATATTGACGATGTAATTGTCAATATCTTTTACTTGCACTTTAATGCATGCAAAGATGATCATTACTTCGGCGCTTACATGTCACACTTAAAAAAAAGACGAACGGTCGTATCGATATTCCATATAATTCTTTAAAAAGAAAATTTAATTTAATTCTTTTTGCCAACATATTCCGAATGTCAGGCATAGCAATGTCACGATTAAAGGGAATATTGTGGATTCTTAAACTTAATCAAAAATTTAATTAGCGCAACTAATTTTTCGATAAGCTAACAAATCTGTCGAGCTCGATGCGAGTTTTGTTGAACCGATAAAACGATTCTACGATTATAGTCAGCACGAAGCCGACAGTCTTTGAATTTGAACGAAACTGACGTCGCGTCAGCATCGATCGTCAGTGAGCTACTTGATTATTTGGCGTGTGTTTCTTTGGTCGTATATCTTATTTGCCGACGTACGATGGGGAATGCGTTTACGAGGGCAACATCGGACAATTGATCGATGCGTCGTTAGTGGGACATTAGAACGAGTTCAGTTGTAGTTCGTTGAGCTGCTTGAAGATGAGGACGACGAAGAGGATCCTACTGAGCTGGAGCTGCTGCCGGGTGAGTAATAGCTATAAGCAAGATTTTGGGCTTCCACACCATTGGTCGGCGTCCAAACGCGGGAATAAGGACCACTGCCGTCCCACGTATTGACGGGGTCATAGCTCGACGTCGTCGAGAGCATAGGTGGAGCACCATAGGTTGATGCCGGTTCCATGGACATTCCTACAATCGTAAAAATTTCACATTTTATGCATTCCATCAAAGTTACGCAGTGCAAATGTGAAATTTTTCTTCGTGCTGCAATTATTCTCCAAAATTTAATAGAAATCTTTATGTAATGCCTTTTTTTATTTAATAATTAATTTATTGAAATGTTATAATAAATTAAATTAATATTTTTAAATAAATAAAATTAATAAACATAAAATAGTACATATTTTTTTTATAGAAAAAAGTAAAATTATTTTGGTATAATAAGTTAAGAAAAATAAAATTATTTTAGAAGTAACAATATATAACTACCTGTAAGTTTTATTATAAATGTAAAAAATTACTTTTATGTTAAATATTAAAGAAATACTGGAAGGATTTATTAAGGATATATAAACGTACCCATCGGCATCATCATGCCACCTTTCTTGAAGAGCTGCATAGCAACAAATCCAATCACGATAAGAAGAGCAAGCTTCGACAAGACCAGAGCCTTTAGCGCTTTTAGTCCAATAATGGCGACAAAGATGGGCATTAGAGCTTTCAACTTCAATTTCAACAGCAGCAAAAACGGTAGTAGGAGCTTCTTCTTCAAGAGTCCTCGTGCTTGACTGGTAGCTACGTCATTGTCCTTGAATTCAAGGTCAAGGTCCGTCAGGCTCCTGTTAGGTCTGTACTTCAAACTAGCATCGACGAAAGGTAAATCAACTCCATAATCGAAACTCTTTAAATACTTGAAGGTCCTGGCAACGATTGCTTCGTCGACGGTTTCGAGCGATCTCGCTTCCGTGGTGGTTCCCAGTTTGTTATCCAGATAAGCCAAAACTTGATGCTTCAAACAAGATGTCCAGGATTCTGTCTTTATACATTCGTTCAAAGAATTTGTCAGAAAGTCCTGATTGGCTGTGCAAGATCCAACCAATAGAACGATCACGCCTACTGATACTATCAGTCGCATGTCGGTATCCTTTTCCTTTCTTCGACGTTTTGTAGAAGATTATTCGAGTCGCCCGCGTTTTTCTTCTTCTTCTTCTTCTTCGTCTCGTATAGATTCGCCGTTCTCGCCGTTCTCGCAATACCGCGTGTCAATAAAAGCGATCGATCGTCCACCCGTGTGAGCGAGCGATCATCGGCAATCGAACTGCGACTGACGGAGGAGTGGCTCGTCCCTTTTATTTAATTTGTCCCCCTATGAATCTATGTTATTCGGTCGCGCATGCCGGGAATCTACGATTAAAGGGAAATTATTCAAATTTCACTGGCATAGAGTGTCGTACCTCCAATCCCCCTCGAACCTCCCTCATGCTCATTCACTCACGCGTGTATATGTATCGATTGTTGTACGTCGCGTACACGATGGCATGCAACGCATACGGGAAACGGAACTTGCGTGTCGCGTCTCTTCGCCTTTGCGAGTCTCACTTGACTCGTCGTAAACTGTCAGGCGCCGTTTCGCGGCCTGTATGCCTTCTATGATTTAACAGAATGAGTAACTGTTGTCGCTGTAACACTCCAGAAAATTGCAAGTCATGCGTATATGCGCGCGTACGGTGATTTAAAAGGATACGATACCTACTGCTATTCTAGAGTTACGATGCAACACATTGTTTTACGTTTTACATTAATAAGTGAAACTGGACCGATATGAATCTTACAATTACAGTCAATTAGACAAGATGCCATCTTCGACATCCGTCACGGATTGTAGAGAGGTCTAGGTTCGAGTTCGAACTCTGGCTGGGGTGATATTTTTCACAATAAATTCTTTACAGTGATTTTAAAAGAATGCTTATTAACATTACAAGTTAAATAGATTATCGATTTAAGTGGATGGATTTACTGTTCCAACAAGAAACTGTGTTTTAAGACAAATAATCGGTAGTTTATTGAGTTGGGAAAAGTATACTAAATTCACATAGAAATATTATTATTAGGCTATCAATATTTAGTCCGACCAAAAATGGCATCTCCTCTAATTGATTGTAACATGGAATTACGATGATTTATACGCTACTGTTATAACGCTGTAACACTTGCTCCGTGCATATGACATTGTGAACGGCAATGACATTTGTGGAGAAAGCAGGATAAGTGTAAATTTTGTTACAATGTTAAAAAAAGATAAGATTTTTCTCATAAAAAAATTAGAAACTATAGGTACATTATGCACTCAAAATGCTACTACGTTATTTTAACTTTTTTTTTTTAATATCGATGGCAATTTTTTTTTCTAAATATCAATTTATAAAATTACGTTATGTTATTTTCAAAACTGATTTTGTGCCATTTATGAGATATATTTATTTTCTCTAATAAAGATAAAAAACGCACTTCGATACTTTGTTGTGATATTTATTTCTGTTTTTAAATTAAAATAAAATGGCAATAAAAAGATATAAAAAGAGATTTATTGCTGCGCTATTTGTTACGTGTGTTTGAACAAATTTCTTTAATTAAAGTGGTAAATAAGGACAGCTGTAAAAAATAATAATGATTACATTATAATATATAGTAACAACATAACTAGATATAAGTACAAACTGAAATCTTAATTTAGTTATTTTTATTTATTTTAATTTATTATAAATTTTTTATTTTCCAAAATATACGAAATTATATCAGAATACATATGGATGTGACATGATGTGAACGTTAATGCGAATAGCTAAACATAACATATAAAGTGATACTTAGTTGCACGTATGATGTGCATATAGATTTTCTCGTTTTCATGGAAATTGCAAGTCACGTAATATGTTAAAATAGTGAAATGACTTTTTTAAAGTGGTGATTTCTCCAATCAACTTTCGTAAGGAACGAAAGTGATCACATTCCCATGTAAGTGTGTACGTGTAGGACTTCTTTAAATATCCTATAAAGTTTCGATTGATTAAAAATGTAAGCATTCCTTTAAATATAGAAAAGAAATATAGAAAAGAAAGATAATTAAACAATGTGTTACAGAAATGAAGGTGATAAAGTATATCATACAAATCTTAAAGATGTAAAATTAAATACTTTTTTCTAAGGCATATTGCTAAATCAACCATAAAAACAGAGTATAAACTAGATAAAATGTTCATCTGACTTTCTATTTTTATAAATGCTTGAAAATATCTATTATTAAATTAATTTAAAAAATTACTAGTTTTTATACGTAAAAAAAAATAGACAAGCTTAAAACAATATTTTAATTTTTTTTTATTTTAAACACATTTAAATGTTTTAATAACAAATAAGTCTCAAACCAAGTTTAAATTTATCTTTTTCTTCATATATAGCACAAATTGTACTATCTCTACTTTTATTTTATATATTATATTATATATTGTTTATATATCTAATTTTGTAAGAAAGTATATTGATTGAAAACTGCAATATATTAACATTAATTTAACTAATCTCCTTTTTTCTTGAATAAATTTTAGGATCGAACGACAAGCGGCATCGGGAAAGCAGGTTTGCAAATAAGCATAGGTTGAAATGACTTGCAATAATAATTTATTAAATAGATAGTAAAAATAGGAAGCTAGGTATTTTACAAAAGCATCTACAGAGACCGAGAGTGACATTAGAGTTGTGCATGAGCGGTGTATGCGAGATTGTGCGCAAGTTGCGATGTCGAGAGTTGATCTTGATCCTGGAAAGATCTGTACTGAGTTTGATATTCCCATCCATGAGCAATGGGCGCAGCGTGAGTATCGGCGGCAATTTTTTTGCAGAGTTGAAAGATGGCCATGCCGACGGCCACGATGAAGCTGAAGAATGAGAGCTGCAGGGCGTTCCAGGCCTTCAAACCGAGCACACCGATGGCCAGAGGGATCAGAGTCATCGCCTTCAGCAAGACGAACACGAGGATAGGGATGATGACTTTCTTCAGCTTGGATCTACGAGCCTCATCGACGGCACGGCCCTGGCCGAACTTGATGTTGAAGGTGAGCTGATCATCTTCGATATCGCGCGAGCTCACCTTCACGGTGGAGTCTAGCGGCAGTTTAAAGGTCACGTCGTGAGAGGCCAAGTAAGATTGTACGGTATCGAGAAAAGAACTCTCGCTACGAGCAGACGTCGCTTCGATGGGGTATGAGTTACGTGTAACTTCCACCGTTTCGGATATCTGCAAAAATAAAGATATAGATAAAAGGTCGGCAGATTTATTAAGGCAAAATATTTATATTTTATATATAAGAAATTTATGCAATTTTACTAAACAAAACGAAAAGAAATTGAAAATAGTAAATTGAAACTAAGGAAACTCTACCGTATCATTGAGTAATATTTAAAAAATATTACCGATACTTACCTTAAAATTATCCTTACTGAAGACTTGGTCGAGCAGGTTAAACACCTTGAACTTCATGCAAGCGATCTCATCGTTCTTCTGCGAACAATCAGACCTGGACTGATCTACCATCTCGTCCATGGCATTCTTCCAGTTTTCATTCTTGGCTGGTTGCGCAGCGGCCAACGCTAGTAGGCCGCATAGGATGAAAAACTTCATGGCGTTAGCAGGGGGTATATCCGTTCGTGAAGACTCTTGGGGAAAATTCGCGCTATGCACTTGTTTGTGGATAATGAATGAGGACGATCGCGGGACGACGACTGATGCCAATGGGTTGGGCAGTACGGTATTTATACGAAGGCCTATCGTCGAATCGCACAACGCACGTTGAAGAGTCGCGTAGCGGCGATCCCGAATACTCCCCCACTTCCATCCGGGCGTGGATTTTCTTTTCGTTCAGTATGGTCTTCGATTATTGAGGCCTCGCTACAGATCATGCCGCGACTACCTAATGAGGGAGGATAAACCGGGCGAGCGTGAGATCGCGCGACATACGGCACGCGACGTCGAATCGGGGTGGCGCGGCGGCCCCGATAGGTCATACATTTCGCTCATGAAACGCGATGGAATCTATGATATTAATGAACAGTAGTTTGCTTTCTACGAGCGATATCTGAAGACCCACTTGCGACGGTAGTCGCTCGTGGAATATTTTTGAAGCATGGCTTGAAATTAAATTTTTTATTACGAACGCAGTCGGATTTTGTAATTAGACTTGTTTCATTCGGGTGAGAGCGGAATTTTGAAAAAAGTTATTAGAAAACGTTTGGAGGAAAGAAGTTTAATCTTACAAAAGTTTTCTAGGACATTATACAGAGCTTTATTATCGGATAAAATTAAAATTTTACAAGAAGACAAGAATAAATTAAAGTACATAATTATTTTTTAGAAATAGACCACATATACACAAAAAAATGATGTAATAATGCGTAATCAGATTATTTAAATATCTTTGTTATTTTAAAAGCAATATTAACCTACTATAATTTATTAAGTCATTCTTTAATGATTAATTTTTCGATGTGCGTAGCAATTCGTCTAATGATTTGAATGCAGAATGGCATACGAGAAATTGATAATTAATTATTGTAATTAGTATTTATGATTCAGGCACATGTAACGATAATTAATCTTGATTCTGTATCAGGCAAAAGGAAAAGTTAAAGAAAGAGAAATAAGTGAAAATTTTTTATCCTAAATTATTTTTGATTATTTAATCTTTTTAGTCGTTCTTCTTTATAGCATACAATCGGAAATCATATATACGTAAGAGTCCTTTATCCTTGACACCAAAGTCGTCATAACATTGGCATTGAGTCAATCGTTCATTCATAGCACGATCATAACTTTCCACACGACTGCCTCGTTAAAACTCCCTCCTGTCTCTTCATGTTCTCTTCACGTTTCCTTATGTCGTTAACCCGATCTCTAGACACTACTAATTTCACCCTGTCAGACCTAATTAAATTGTAGCTCCTGATCGAACCTAAAGGAAAACAGTTCAGGGTACATCAGTAATGCGCGTTGCGTGCGAGTTTCTCGCGCGAGAATGCGCATAGGGTACTATCGGAGACATTTCTGTCTTCCTGCCCGACTTCTTCTTTATCATAACAATGAAACGACAACTAGAATTTTGGGTCAAGTTTGCATAAACATTTAGGCCGTTTACCCGATAAAATGTCGATCAATATATTTCGCATTTTGTACAATTAATCTATTCGTTTTAGTCCGTTTATTATAGAAAAGTAACAAATATTTGCGTGCACCAACAAACATTCCATGAACTGCAATCCCTGTATTACCACAGATATCTATCTTTTTTTAGAGATACGGCATTTTTCAATATTTATGAAAATTGAAAACAATTCGATAGTACAGATTACATAAACTAACAAATCTGTGCGTGTAAAATTGTTTGAAAAATTATATCTTAATATTTTTAAATGTATTTACGCATTTCTATATATTATGCTAATTTACTATACATATATAATCTCTATATAAAATTATTGTATTGGTTCTAATAATAGTTCATTTATTCAAATTACACATCGATATGTTAAGAGTGAGAAGGCGCCAAAGGAAGAATTACTTTTTCAATTTTGAAACTTATTAATGCTTTCATATTTGTTTATTATCCTTTTGTAAGACGTATTCACTGTTGGAACGATAGCGTCCTTACATCTGAAGAAAATAATAGTTTATAAAATATTAAAACAGAATGTTGAGATGAAAGTAGCGGCAAAGTTTATTTGATGAAATAATGTAAAAGTTTACATAAATAATGTAGGTGGAACTAACAATGAATAAATAGGTAAATCTATACAATCGCGATAAAACAATCAATCTTGTTATACATCGTTCTATTTCCTATAGGCCTTGTAAGGTCCGTGGGGTGCGGTGTCCCAATGAGGGGGGTGTTCTATAGGTGGGTGACCATAGTGAACAACTTCGTAAGCGACTTTCGGTTTAGTCAACTTGAAGATCATCATCGCTCCGCTGAGAACCAATGATAGAAGACCCAAAGTTAGTGCCTTCCACGTTTTCAAAGCGATGAGAGCGAGAGCAAGAGGTGCCAAAGCGGTGGCTTTGAACTTGAGACCAAGAAGGAACGGTATCATCACTTTCTTGACGAAACCGCGACCTGCAAATACAAAGAAACTCTACTTAAAACGTTCGTCAAGAAATCTTGCAGTCTTAACAGATATTACTTATTCATAGTTATTTTTCTTTCATAGTTATCTATCAGTTTATATATAAATGCAGATTGTAAATGAAATAATGTAAACACCAGTATTCGTACTATTTGTTATTAAGTTACCTTGTTCATTAGAAGAGTCACTAAGAGGGATTGTAAGACTCTTTGGCATGTTGTCGACTAAGGATCTAGGGACAATATTGGATCCTACAATCACTGTTGGTAGTTTAGCCTCAAGCTGATGGCTTGCCAAATACGCGTCCAATTTCTCAAGCATCAATGTTCGCAGGAGTTTTCTCTTGGATGGATCTGCGGCGTCAAATTGTGAAGGTAAATCTTCCACCTTATGCTCTGGGGCATCGCGGGATTTAACTACTGCTAAATCCTCCGTAATTGCTAATCTGTCTTGTTTCACGGCATCGGTGATGTAAGCCAACACTTTCGGTTTAACGCAAGATAACATGGATTCGCTATCTGCGCATCTGAAACATTTCAAATTCGTATAGGGTTATTAAAAAGAGCATTAAATATTTCTAAGCGATTACTATTTTAATCTTGACATTTTAGTTTAATTTAACACAAATAATTATCAATAATTAGAATTATATAAAAATTATAATTTACCTGTGATAAATTTCTTGCAGAACATCAACGGTAGTTTCTATTTGTTGCGCACTAGTGAGAATCGCCAGAAGGGCTACTGACACAAAAGTGGTTAAAATCCTCATGGCGGTATCACCGATTCGCCAGACTAAAGACCGAATGCCAGTACGGTCGAAGTCAACGGGGTTTTATAGCTGATGGCAGTCGTGTACGACCGATGAATTTTGATCAGGGACGTGTTGCTGGCTGGTTGAAAGAAAAGAAGAAAGCCTCATTATTTAGGGTGTCGGTATTTTCACGACTCTGAGCGCTTTCGTCCCTCTGAAACGATTTCGATTTCAATGTCTACAGTTCTACACCAAATATCATTTCCGTTTTTAGATTATGTTCATCAGTGAACTGTATTCAGATGATACTTATTCAGAACTTTTACTGCAAAATTATAATTTTAATAGTAACTTTTTATTTTATTTTTTCCTTTTTTGGATTTTTAAGTACTTTAATTTTAAGAATGTCGAAACGTTACGACTAAAATAATAAAAACTGTTTGAATCCAAATAGATTCTGTAGATTTCATTATAAAAAAAAATTCTGTCAAAGTTTGAGACTGTTCAGGAAGCTTATTATTGAGAAAATTAAATAATAAAATTATACGTCGTATTATGGAAAATGGGAGAAAAATTATTATATCTCAAATAATTAAAAAAATAAGATTTTTAAAACCGAACGAGTAAGATTACATTATTAAAAACAATTATTAGACTACATTATTAAATTTAAAAAAAAATTTTTAAAAACAAGTCTCCTAATAAAGCTAAAAGTTGGTAAGGATAATTATGTAGTCTTACTTGTTCCGCTTGCAAAATTTTGAGTTTTTAATCGTAACGCTTCAACATTTTTAATGTGAATATAGATGAAACTAAATAAGTAATTTCTATTTACTTATTATAGATACTTTGATTTGTAGCATATATTTTTACATAATTATATTTATACTTTATAAAATTAAACAAATAGTTATATTTACAATTACTAGAGAGAGGTAGGAAAAGATGTAGGGAGAACGTGATTTTACAATATGATGATATTGAGAAAGATATTATATATTTTTTATATTATTTGTATGTTTACTAAAAAAATCAACGATTTCTTTAATAACTCTGAAAATAGAATAATAATACAATAATATATTTCAACTAATTTATTAAATAAATTTAAATATTCTTTATTATTATTATCAGAGAGAAAGAGAGAGGGAGAGAGAGAGAAAAATTATCTCGCTCATACAATTGCACATACAATTTTTGAAAGAAACAAATAAATAGAATATTTAGAATATTTTTGAGACTATTTTAATTTAAAAAGTCGGCATGTGACTTAAGAATAATTTGCTACTGAAACTATTAAGTACAAACATGTAGATATACATAAGGATAATGTATAAAGATACATATGTATAAACATTGATTTAATATTTTATTGCGCATAAATTAATATACACGATTAGGCCACATAATTAATTAAAAGTTCATTTTCTACAGTGTTTTTCGATATTTGTATAGTAAGAAGATTTAAGATAAAGTTCAACTATAACATTTATTGGGTATGGCACCCGAATGTATAACAGCAGCTGATTAATTATCTAACAAAATAAATAGCTCTTATATACTAAACGCTACCTTTTAATTAATTTTTACATAACATCACACTTATCATGCAAAAATGCAATATGTTTTTAATATATTTTTAATTTATTAAAACGGCATCTAAATATCTTTTATGCCATTGTATGTAAGTAATCATAAAGAAGATAAATTTATCATTAAATGTTCTAATTAGTTTGTTCTGTACATAAATATTAAGAAATAATTATGTCATATTACGTTCCACAAATAAAGAAATTTTTTCTTTTTTTAATTATAAGATATCTGTGTTCTCCGGATATAAATTAATTAAATTAGTACAATTTTTCCCGATAATTTCATAGAATATTATGAATTTCTGTATTACTTGAAAAATTATCTAAAAATTATAAAGCTCGCTTAACTCATAAAATGCCACATAATCCAACATTGTATGAATCTTATTATCTAATCATATCTAATAATGATATTATTCTTGGAGACAGTGATCTTGCTGACAACGCGTCAATAAACTATAAAAACTTTGACACGCCATCACAAAATTCACCGATTTTACTCCTTACTAAATTCGGTCATAAAATTTGAAAAATTGGCATAAATTACAATAAGATATATTACGTTCAACGTATTGATCAGCATTTTATAAACTAAATTAATTGCTAGTATTAGTACGACGGGTGCTATTCGCAGAGCACCCCAGTTTCTTTTCTAATAGGAAAATTAGAGTTCATACAACTTCACACACGTCTCATACATGTATTCATAAATTAATGCATGGCAGTATATCGTCGGTCTTTCTTATAAAGATATTACGCAACGTTACGACGCTGAGCTTCTAATGTAATTTCTTCGGCCTCATTGAGCAAGTATATGTATATATGTCCAGCAGTATTATACAGGATTGTAATATCTGTTATATTTTAATTGCAGATTATGCGAGTCGATATAAATTTTACGTTACGGGACATTTATTCAACATTACTATGACAGGGATACGTTTTAAGGCAATCTCCACCATCTTGACCGTGTCTGGCTGCGTTCACATATCTGTAGAACTTTTGACTGGACGTACTTTCTGTTATATCACGCCTGAGTTCTTGCGGATCTCTGAAAAAATACATATAATTTTTTTTAATTAATTCAATCCGTAAAAGGCACTCTGTGTTAAAAAGCATAGTGAGAGATTATACGTCTCAATTAACGTGCTTGTTTCGAGCCGCGTTGACCTGATTCATGTTGTTTTCCTTGCTCATTACCGGAATAATTCGATAATATATGCGCATTGCTTGGAAACGTAATTTTGTTGCTCCTAGATAAAAAGTTTACTTTTCAAAAGGCTGCAATTATGCGTAAGCGAGTTACTCGACGAACGTCATAAATGCAACGGAACTGTACTATATTTCCGGTCCGTCGCGTAGCCGGCTTGACTGAAAGTATCTTCATAAATTATGCCAATTGTTAATAAAATACTAAGCAAGACGCAACGCTCAAAGCTATATATTTAGGTAAGACTAGCGTGATGCGCGAAATCGCATTCCCGACATTAAGAAACGGCAAATACGAACGATATGAAGAAAAGAGAAAGAAACAGAGAGAGAAAGAGAGAGAGAAACCAACATGACCCGATTAACGTGATTCGGAGCGCGCGGGCGATCTCCACCTTTCTCTTTGTGATGCGCGATTTAATCGATAAGCCACGTAGTTGCTACTGCGCTTCATACCTGGAGAGTTCGTTCGACACGAGGTTACTGTGCGGCGAATAGCCCGCCGGATTTTTGTACATGCTGCAAACGAGCATCTCTCTGCACGTCTCCCCATGGAATCTCAGCTGCCCGAAGATATCCTCCAGCCGAGCGATTATCGGCCCGTAATATTCGTCTTCCGTGTCCTGTCGCGAAATAGAGGAACTCTTGGCACTTGCGACAGGTGTCAAGAACCTTTGAGGCTGATGGTGAATCGGGCGTATGTTCGGCGCAAATACCGCGTAAGGGTTCTTCATCGGTGCCTTTGCACCGGGCATGAGGCCCGGACTTATCGAGAATACAGCGGAAGTTGGCTGTGCTACGGGTCGTCGGTATGCGGAATAGGCCAAGTTGTGAGCATTAGCCGCAACTGAATTGTCCAGATAAGACGACGCGATCGGCTTCACGTTCGGCGCATATTGAGGCAATCCGTATGAGCCCGAATACACCGGTCCCGAAGCTGAGGTCGGAGCCGGGACTACGCGATTTATAGGTTGACTGGATTCTTCGTAGGGTTCGTTTAGAGGCTCGATACCCCATTCCTTCAGTTCTTCCAAATCCTTTCGATACTGAATATGATGAGGATGGCTGTAATCGGCGAAACCGTCTAAAGTGGTATCATCATGATGAGGATGCTCGTAAAACGTTGGGACAGGTACAGGAACTGGCACGTGATGATGGTGATGAGCTACCTGAAACAAAGATTTAGATTATTTTAACATTATTTAATATTGTATAAAAATATTTTATACGAAAGAATTGAGATGCGAAGATCACAAACGTACCTGATGATGATGGTGATGGAACTTGGGGCCATGGTTCGAATAGTAGCTGGAGCAAAGCTTGAATATGTGAGCGAATGCGGGAATGAAGAACAGCAGCAGTTTTAGGAAAAGTTTCTTGGCAGCGCCCACACCGAAGAGGAACGGAATTATGAATAGAAACTTGACTTTAATCAGCTTGATAATTAAAAGAAGCGCCAGTAAGCTGGTTAACAATTTAGCCGTTATGAACTTCTCTAAAATAAAATAAGAGGAGGGGCATTATATTCTCCATCCATAATATCCCTAATAATAAAAATATTGGAGAATTTGATTTTCCTTACTGATTTTCTTAAAAATTCGTCCCTGCTCTTCTACACCATTAGTTCCAAAGTCTATCCTGATAAGAGCGCCATTCTCGTCTATTTCGCGCGGACTTATCTTCACCGTAGTACCCTCAAAGTAAAACTGCGGAAGTTGAATTTCATAATTACGCGTTGACAAAAATTTCACTGTTTTTCGTCGCAGAGCGTTCGTGATCTCTTCGAGTGGCGATTCGTCATTAAACATCCGATCTTGTGTTTTTATTTCTTCGGCCGCTTTATTTTCATCACAGTCATTCGTATCGACATCCACGAGATTCTCGCCAACATCGTTATGATTTTCTGTCTTGGAACACGTATCATAAGTGATATTGTTTTTCGTAAGTACAAGACCATCGAAGACGGTGATATTGTCCCTTTCGATAAATGCATTATCGAGATATGTGTACGCATTTTTTTGTATGCAAGAAAACGTCACTCTCTTGTTGCAGTCCCTAAAAAGCCCGTGCCAGAGCTCGTTTCCGGTTTCGTTGATATTTAATGTGTTAAATTTCAGAAGCTTCGCGTACAGCCTAAGTTTCTCAGCACTGAATAACTCCGAGTACGATAGCGTCATCGAGAGACACAACAGGATTAATGTCGTTCCCCGATACATCTTCAGGATCACTTACGGAGGTTTAAGTACGTTTAATGTACATGCATATATATTTTATTTGACTTTTGTTTACGTATGACCACTATGACCAGAGGTGTGAGGTAGCGTGCCGGAAGCACTGCACGCTCTGAATATATATGACCGGCACCAACTACTTGTTTAGTAACTAGAACCGGTACACTTTTGATTTCGCGAAAGGGTCATCATCACTGGTCCACGTGCACGTCGGATTCTTTGGTATCTACCCGTGGTCGTCACACGCCCTTCCTACTTATTGGAGTCGCTGTTCAACGTTCAACGTTGATCTTCCCCCTCTTCTTTCTCTCCTGGCCGAAAACTCTACCGTGACCTTCTCCCACCTCTTAGCGACATCGATGATCCTCTTCTTCGCGATCGGCAATTCGGTGCGACGCGGACGTAAGTCACGTAAGCTCTGTCGCCGCGATCACGTTGCATCGCAGACGTCGATCGTCATGCTGACTACCGTCAATCGCATCACCAACATCACCGTAGTATTTGACTTCTTCTCTGTGCACCTTTGACCCGTTTCGTCTCAAAGGTTTCACCTTCTTTCTCTCTTTTTATCTCGTTCGTGGAGACGCGCTACGTTCAATCTCTCGGTTCGCACTAACCACGAACCTCTCCGTTCTCGGTTACAATTCACCTGAGCGTCAAGTGTGTCAAAGGCCCTCCTACTCCGTCGCGTTGGCCAGCTCCTCCATGGAAGGTCATTATCGTCTCCTCTTGGACTGCAACCGACCAGGCCTGTGCTTCTTACACGCGCGCGTTTAAGACCGTCCGACTCCTGACCACAGGTCTGATATATAAATATTCAGTGGGCAGTGGGGTACGTTTAGGACGAGCCGGATGAGCTGACGGGAAACGCTGTTTCGCTAATTGAGTATGAATACCACGTGTGCTCGTGTTTCCAATATTCAGAGCATCTAGAATATCCGGTAACATTTAAAATGTTACCGGCATTTAAAATATTTATGTTTACGTATATTATGATTATGATGATCTGATCAGGTTGAATTTTATTTGTATAATCAAGAGACACGGACGACTACGCGAGCCGGCCAGTTGCGAGTACTCGAGATTTTTGGATCTCAATGACGGCTGAGTCGATCAACTAATGAATAGGCTCATTCGATATAACTTGGGTTTGAATTTTTGTTCACGCTACATGTATTGAAATACAATATGCTTGCACGAGATAAGAATCAATAAATTAATAAATTTCATGAAATTGCAGAAGATTTTACGTTTCTATTGTAAGCTATACGAGCTATTGTAAGCTTATACGAGATCATTACTTATTATCGGACATATAAATTTTTGTATAATAATGAATACATATAATGATAAATATAAATTTTTGCATAATAATGAATAGTGTAAGATTATGAGATACAATTAGAATATATGATGTGTATTATACGTATGTAATATACAATAGCATTTGCATATAAAAAATTAATTGCAATTGCTTTTTGTAATTCATTTTTTCCCATAAAGTATATAATTAAACTATTGCATAGATTTATATAATATTTATGCGTGAGTCTGGTATGCGTCCCGGTGCAAATCCAGTTTAACTTCCTTATCTCGCTACAGCAACGTAATACTAACTGGATTTTATATTAAATTTTTTAAGTATATACATATGTAAAAATTAATATGTTATTTTGATTGTAAAAAGTATGATATTAAAATTATTTAAATGGAGAAAATCAGTTGCAACATGAATTAAAAAAGATATATATCTAATATATAAATATAAAATATTTAGAATATTTGCAGATATATATTATAAAGTTATTTTATAACTGTAAACAACATTTTTCTCTCTTTTTAGACTTACTGTTTACAAAAAGGTTAATATGTACATCAATTTAAAATGCGAAATATATTTCCTTCTTCCAGAATATATTTTACTCTTTATCCCCTCTCCCCCAAAATATTCCTCGAATAAGATACAATTATAAATCATCAGATCATTGATATTTGTAGCCAATTCCATCATAAATTAAATTATTCCAAATTTTATACACGTATCATATATAGGAATCTAAAGGTACTTTCAGATCCGTTAATGTAATAAAATATTTATAAATGAATCACAAGTTAATTGATTGATTTATTCTTTATGCTAATAATTTTTTGATTTATTTTTTTCTTTATGCTAATACTGCGTCATACGCTATATTTTTTTACCGCTACATTAAAATAATAGTAATGTAAAATCGTAAGTGTGTTGAAGCATAATAATAATAAGTGTCGGACCACACAAACATCGTTATGATACAGTATGTAAAAAATTATGTTAACGCAAGTAATACTACTCTGAAAAACTACGTTTAATATCGCAATATACTTTTACTCTAAGAAATAATATTATTTATCGCGTAACTACTAACTAGACGCGTCTAGAAAAAAGTCGCTTAATAGTTTGAGTTAAAAACCTGCTTTATAAAATCATCACCAATACGTATTAATATCTGCAAAACATTATCAAGTAAACATCACCTTGCTACATTTCTCTCTTACTCACGAGCCGCTTTTCATTAATAGATTCCTGGTGAAGGTGTTCTCCTTATTCCAGCTAGAGAGGAGAGAAGTAACTCCAAGATACATGGAATTCATATCCAACTTATATCTAATATACCTACCTAGGTGACAGCTAGACATATCTTTTTCAATACGCTAATAATACTTATAAATGACTTTGATTATGCAATACGATGATTATTGAAATATGAAGATGCCTGCACATTGCATCCACTATAAAAACACTTGAATAAAAAAAATCTTGCAATGTTTTAAAACTTGTTTTTTTTTTTTATAAGAACAATTCTTTTATATAATAAAATTATATTAATATGTTAAATCACTATACTTTCTTACTCTTTTCTTCATTTCTTTCTTTCTCTCAAATTAGACATATTTTGAAATTTTAATATATTTTTATACATGTAATAACGTTAATGTTAAATATCTAGTTTATCCCATGTATAAACGTTTTCTGAATATATTGTGTCTTGTGTAAAAAACGAGTTTTGGAAGTAGCGCATTTATCTCTCAGAATGATCTAAATTCAAAAATATGGAGGTCAAAGATATATCGATACCAGTCTGTGAAGAAACTGGAAGTTCAATGGCTCTCGGAAACCATTGGTCAAGATGATCAGGTGGGCCAAACGAATGGAAGGACGCAGTTTGACCGGATGAATTCCATTGACCCACTAATGTAAGGCGCTAGGTAGGTAGGTAGGTTGTGGCACGTGGCCGGCTTACGCGTTCGTTGCCGAAAAACAAGCGTACGCGGAAGACGCATTCCTCAGGAACAGGATTTTACACTAGAAATTTCATTCTGCTGCAAAGATATGTTTTTCTTCCGTTGATGAATACAAAACATAATATGCATACCGGCATGTGCACTCTCTTATTTTACTTCACTTCTTTAGAGCTCTCGATACCCATGGAGGAACAAGAGGCTCGTTCAACATTCCAGCGTAACCTAGTTACGTCTTAGTCATAATTTATCAAATGCGGGTGACAAATTTACAGGATATTTTTCCATTTCGTGGAAATGAAGACAGTTACATTATTAAAGTTTGCGTGCTTTTAATTCGTTCCTACTTTAAGTAATACCATTATTTTAAAAAACTCATGTATGAAATGTCTAATATTTGTTAGATTTTAACATTAACTTTACTTTTATTAAGGCTGTGTTCCGCTAGTTATTCACTGCCATTACTGAAAATCTGTAGTGTACGTGACACGAACTATAGATTTTCAGTATTGACAGTAAATATCGGAACACAGTCTAAATAACGCTAAAATTTTTAATACCTATAATTGTAGCACGGTTAATTAGATAGAAAAGTGTATCAGTGATTAAAAGTAAAATTATAGAATCTCTATTCCAGAAGATAATTTACAGCACAAACAATTCTCAAAAACAATTTAATTTTCTTTGAGTACCTATTATTTACTACGCAAATTATATATCCGATAAAATTTAATTTGATAGTTTTGTGATTTTGTAGTTGATTTCTATATCTGTGAATCTTTCCAATCTCTCTGCTTTTTAATTATTACATTGTATCTGACGACCTTTACAAAAGGAAGCAATTTGTGCCGGTCTGACTGTGGCAGATTACTTGAGATGCGCCAGTCGCTCGTGACCGTATGTTAGAAAGTATTTTGAGTTATAGACGTAGTTGAAAATTGCCAATTGTGAATCAGAAGTGTAAACTTTAACGGCCACAGCGCCCACAGCAGATCCAACGGAAAGTATTTGTCTGCGGTGCATCGAAACTGGTTTGTACGTGCAGTACAAAGTGAACCAAGCAACTGGGACATGCCATATATTGGATGAGTAAAAAAAATGTCTTAGCGCCGGAGAAAAAGAATCTATTGTATGGTAAGTGATAATTACGAAGTTCATCAAAATTTATGATCTTTCTAACAATATACTAAGGAATCTTAGAGAAAGCGACTTTTTATTTCTCACAATAATTTAATTGGAGAGATATTTTTCAAATCATCTTTCGAGGAGTGTCTTACTTTTTGGAATAATTTAAGATTTATTTGATTACGTATATTCTGTAAAAAATAAAATATGTAAATAATAGATCTTTAACTAATCGCACATTAGAATTATAATAAAGATATTACAGTTAAGAATAGATGAAAGATTAACTGTAAGTGTCAAAGCATCAATCATAACTTTTTCATTCTCATTCTGTAACAAAGAGTGACAACACTTACTCAGTACTCACCCATTTACCTATCCCCCCCCCCTACTCTCTTACTTTTTACCACAAATCAGAGACATGCGAATACAGTATTATCGCACCGTCTCTGACGGAACAAATAGCATACTGCACATTGCCTCATATTATGCAGACATAGACTGCTACACAATTTCCGTTACGTCAACTGAGACAGGGAAATGGCTTTCGGCTCTTGTAATAAACTTCTCTAGATAAGCAAGTAAACGGAAATATCGTATGAAATATGTACACGGAAACAAATATTAAGAATAAACAAACCATATTTGTAATGTAAGTTAAGTTAATATTAACACAAATAATAAGTTATAAAAATTTTTTTGAAATATCAAATTTTCTTCGGTATAAAAATAATTATTTTTATAATTTCTTTATTACTATTTTTGTAAAAAATTATAAACTTATATTTCCGAAGGACAGTAGTATAAATGTTATATTACAATATTTCCAAAATGAGATGTATTGATAGTAAAATAAAATCATTATTGGATAAATCCTCTTTAATGATTGATCCCGAGATGCGGTAACATTATAGGAAAGTGATCCTCGGGCGTAGAGTTGCGCCTATTTCCGGAATAGTCCGACACAAGGAAGATTTCAGCACGAATACTTTCACCGATTTTCCCGATCAATCGCGAAAAGTAGCGAAGTAGTCAATAGCATCCTGTTCAGCTGTTGATCAGTAGGTTACCTAACGGTGATTGACAGATAAGCTCACGGTTTAAGCAGGCGCTTCCCCTTCAAAGAAGTTGAAGGAGAGCGCCCCGAGAAAATCAAATGCGCGACCATATACGCACACGCTCGCACATTGTCCA